ATCTTCAGAGTTCACACGGCTAGTATAGTACTGAATTTAAAATGAGAATTAAACAAGTTAAACAGGGGAGCCACGTCAACGGTTTACATTTTCCATCATGGGAGAAGGGGTGAATTGCTTATGTCTTTGTATTCTTTGGCTTTATGGAGACAATGAAGCCACAGGAGTTTTTCCAAGCTGTTCGAACACTGTCCCATTTGCCATCCTTCCTTCTTTGCTTTTCTTATATTCCTCCCCCAAGCCCATTCTAATTCCCTCCTGGAAAGGGGGGGGGGAGGGCTGAAAAGGGGGCCCTGAAAGAGCTAATTCCTGACTAGCAGCTTATAGTTCTATGGGTCCTGCATATTTTAATCAAAATATTTTAAACAGTTGAACACTCCTATTTAAGACTCCACTCCGCTACACAAAGGGTGAGCTCATAAGCAAATCTATGTAGATGTATGATAAGTGACCTGAAAAGCAGGTTCTTTATGTCAGCCCAAAGGCAGGCAGAGATTAGGCAGACATGAGTACCATTTTAATCACTATTTTTCTTAGAAGAGCGCGTCTCCTTTTCCTAATTTGCAATTAAATATTTTAAAGACGAAAGTTTTCATAAAATGGTAATGGCAGAGCCAGAGCCTTCTTTTTTTTTTTTTTTAAAGTGGGATCAGGGGCCACATTCTGTATTCCCTTCTTCGTGCCACTCCCATTTCTATGACGCATCACTGCAGTCATGCGAGGACCTCAAATAGTTTCCCACTAGGTGACCGCCGGCACTGACTGGGAGATGGCACTGGAAGTCATGCGTCACACTGAAGCGCTGGCAGCGTCTGTGTAGGGCAAGGTGGAGGAATGGAGGGCCTTCTGCTGCTATGCCGCTGAGGGCACTTATCACACTGATCCACCAACCAGAGGATGTACCTCATTAAAGTTCACAGATAAGAGGTTTAGAAATAACTACCCTAACTGACATACCAATGATTCTTCAGTGGGCTCTTCCAGCGTGCAGCTTTCACAGCTGGTCCCGGGCCTAACCGAGGCTCGCTCACCTGTCCTCGGACTAGATAGAGCCAAGGAGTCAGAAACATTCGGGATTGCTAGACTCATTTGCATTTCTCCCCACCAGCCCGACAAGTGTCAACAGCTCTGCTTTGTCAAATGATTCAGAACCAAGTGCTGAACAAATCATCTTAACCTCTAGCTCCCAGTTTCGGAGGCCCGCAGCAGTGATTGGAGAGGTTGGAAAGTGCAGTCCCAGCACAACACCTGGTTCCCAAATCAATTCGCGTCTCCAAGAAGGCTACTGAGCCTGTGGAGAGATACCTACAGCGTGGGCTCCCCTCTTTGTGCTCTGGCTGGCTCAGTTGTCCCGTGAAAGGACGGTAGTGCATTACCTACAGTTGATCATCCTGACAAGACGTGAGGAATGTGGATGTGAGAGCACCAGCAAGCCCACCCCTGGCGCTTTGTTCCTTTTCTCTCTCTCTCTGAAAACCGACAAGATTAACCCAAACGCAAACTGTGGAGCAGAGTTCAAGGGGCTATTCAATCAGTGGTGAATGTGCATTTGTTTACCTACAAAAATAAGAATTTCAGACACAATGGCAGGCAGGCTGGCTTATATACGTTACTGAATGGACTGTTTAAACAGGACTACCCATTGTAGTTTATTTTATCAATCTCTGACAGGTCCGTATTTATTCAGAGCCTGTCGCTTGTGCAGCCCCTGTATGATAGGTTATCTGGATATTACTCAGCCATTCTTTTGGATCACCCTAAGTCAATCAATAGCAGGAACTCAGTATTATGGAGGGAAAAATTAGATAGGGAAGGGAAAATGCTTTGTTAACTAACTAGTGTGTGATGTGTAGGGAATTGTAGCCTTCCTATCTAAGAAAATTAACCCCTCATTGAAGTTTTCAATAAAATCTGTGTCATACATCTGAGAAGCCCATCTCAATTTCACTTTGGGTGAAATTAATATAAAACTAATAAAACCAAGGGCCAAATATTTATTTAGGCTTTCAAAAAATCATGCCTGGGGAAGGAAAAAATTCTACTGAGATGTTTAGAAACAGAAGCCAGAGTTTGCTATTCTGTCCTGAATTAACGACAGCAAGAAAAGACAAAGCTTAACTAATCTAATGGCTATAACAGACTTAACTCCCCCAGACACTATTGATGCCAGGTGAATAATCTAGGAGGGCAGTTGCTAATGTCTTAGTATCTAAGACTTTTGATTATTCCATAAACTCTCAGGGATGGAAGCAGAAGACAGTGTGATTAGAGTATTTCTGGAGCCAGTGAATTTACAAAGGCTTTTCTGAACCCTGTATTCAAACAGCTCCCTATGTCCCCCACCTGCTAAAAGAAGCTGACCTCCAAAAGAAACAAATCTAATTACTGGGGGTTGCTTCATTACAAATACATTGTTCTGGCTCCTCCGACCTGACATGAAACATCAATGCATTTGATTACCTTCCTGCAACATCATCTTTACTGAGGGAAACTTTTCACTGGTCCATAAGTATGCAACTTCCACAAATAAATCAGCCCCCTGGCACCAGGGGCTTTAATCATCACCAAACTTAGAAAAATGCTCTTTCATATCATTCCTCCAGGAAGAAAATTTCTCATTTCTCAAGGTACATTCAGCTGCAAACTTAGTGAAATAGACCTTTTCCAGGGACAAATTATCCAGTCCTCCAGACAAAGCCAGTAGAGTGAGATTTTAAAAATAAATTCTACTCTTGCGGGCTGGAGCAACCACACCAGCAGCAGCAGCGATGCAGGGAGTAAGGTGTCTCCCAAACACTGGCCTCTAGTAGGTCTATCCATCCAGGGCCACAGCACAGGGAAGGGGATGGAGGTGGGGGGAAAACCCTAATTTTAATAATTAGGATGGCAAGTAAACATCAGCTTTCATCCCATCCTCAAGAAAAGCAAGTACAAAACGAGTGACTTCTAAATAATAAGCTGAAATAAACGTTGCTCTACCCTTTCCCCCCTGAAGTCAGTATTTCTAATTCTCCAGAAACACGAAGACTGGAGTCTTAATAATACGAGACAGACATATGGAGTTCGTCGCTTAAAGGGTTAATGAGAATTCCTTTTAATTCGTGTTAACCATAAATATTGAATCTTGAAAGATAAAAAGCGTCCCGAGGGAGCCCCCCCATCAGTGAAAGTGTAAAGCAGAGCAAACAGCGAGCCTAAGAACGGAAAGGTAAAGGAAGGGGGTGGTGGGGAGCGCGAGGAGGAAGGGAAAGTTTGGCGCCGCGAACACAGCGCATGGAAGAGTGACCTCTGTAGGAATAAAGAGCGCACTGGCCAGGGCCTCGCTCCCCATCCAGGTCCTGGCTCCCAGTCTGTGTCTCCTGCACACCCTACCGTGGGGCCCACTCAGGCGTGCAGGGCCAGAGCTTGGTGCCTGGCACTAGGTGCCTCACAATTTGGTAACTACTCTCAGCAAACATAACATCTGACTTAAAAGAAAACAAACAAGCAAACAAAAAATAAAAAACCCACACTGTTCGGGCTACTTACAAGGCGGCTGCATTAAGTAACTTTAGGGACTGTGTGTGGAAGCGCCATCTGAGGCATCATGCGAGAAACTACTCAGGTTGACTACTTTGACTTTGGCTCGCCTTTTTGATTGGGAATTCTTGGCTAATAATTTGGGGAGTTTTAAATTTTCCACTTTGAAAAAGAAGTGCTTACGATCCCTTTATTAGGGGGTGACTTCTAAATCAATCCGCCACCTCTTTGCTCCCAAATCATGCCCAACTTCATTCACTAAGGCCATTGGTCTTGCTTCTAGTATCAAATGCGTTTCCAGGAGCAGCCGATGCCGCCATACTTTACCCAAGTTTCCTGCGGCTAATATGCCACGGTTCTGTAAGGCAGTTTTTGAAATGTAATTCGACGTGTATTCTGAGAATGAGGTAACATCCAGCCCTACGTGCACAGATGATAAGTTACGACTACGATCACTTTACATTAAGGGGCGTATTGCATTGTCTGCATTCTGAATTTACTTTCTTGGCCCAAACGGAAAGTAACTCTCCGCCAGACCTGCCTTTCTTCCGGCTTTAATAAATACAACGCCGAATTCCTGCCCAGTTTCCCCAAACGCCTAGGCTTCGGGAGCCGTAGTTTACTGGCTAGTACTCCAAGCCTTAGCAGAGTGCGTCCTGGACACCAAGGCTGCAATCTGGACCTAACAAGATTGGGAACCACTGGCTTACACGCGAAGGCAGAAAAGGTCATCGCGCCAGGGGTCTCTCTGCGAAAGAGCCCCCGGCTCGCCTCGGGAGCAGGGGGTGCAGGAGGGCGAGGAGGGGGCAGGCCGCCCCAGTTCTCTCGGAGCCGGCGGGCTCCCGGTGCGCCCTCGGCGGGCGGCGACCCGCTGGGGGACCAGACACGCGAGGTACCCGGCGATGGCCGCGCCGCCGCCGGGGGAGACGGCCCCCTCGCCACGCCCGCCCCGCGACGCCCGGGGACCGCGCGCTCGCGTGCGTTTCTCCAAATGGCAACACCTCCGCCTTTCCTACCCGCCCACCCCAGCGCCGGGGCCCGCCAGCCCCTCCGCTCTGGCCCGGCTCATTTGTGCCCCTGCTTTTCGCCCCCGAACCCCCCACCCCACCCCGAGGCTCAGGTATCGCCACCGGAGACCTTCCGGGACGCGACATCCGATCCACCAGAGGCTTTTAGCGCTGCGGAGTGCTGGGGGGGAGGCGCCCTTTCTTTCGGGCCGGCGCTCGGGTTCCAACGCTAAGCGAGGTGTCTCCACCTAGTGAAATGTGGCGGCGGGGTGCGGGGCGCGGGGAACGGGCCGAGCGCCCCCCCCGCCCCGCAAAATCACCCCAAACCTCTTGTTCTGCTGCGCGCAGCCCGCGGCGGACAGGCGCGCCGCTGCCTCTCTTCCCTCCCAGCGGCGCGACGCAGCCGGGGCTGCGACTCGAGGGAACCGCGGGAGCTCGGCCGGGTTTGGAGGGCGAATCGCGGACGCAACTTACTTGGAGTTGGAGGAATTCCAATAGATAGGTTCTAAAACTATCGATCTGGAGATCGCAGTTCTGCATAAAACCATCAAAACTCCCCAGCAGTACTTCCACACGGAGTCCCTCCTCACGGCCATGGTCACACCACTCCCAGCTCCGCGCGACCTCCGGACCTCGGAGGGGCGGTGCGTGGGCCCGGGATCCCCAATCCTCCCGGACCGAAAAAAAAAAAAAAAGAGGGAGCAAGACCCCAAGAATCTGGAGCGACGGGGAGCACGATCGGCGTGCCCAGCCTGCTTCCAAGAGCTCACTGGATCGTTGCGATGCGCTCGCCCTCCCCGGGCTTCTCAAGGCGCGAGGCCGCGGCTCGGTGCGCGGCGTCGCGGCGGGCTCCGGGCTCCCGATCGCCGCGCCGAAAGCAAGGCGGCCGCCCGACTCTCGTACGAATCCAGGGTGCCGGACGCATCCACGGCGGGCGCGCCGGCGGGGCGAGCAGAGCAGAAGGCGCGCCGGGGTTTAAAAACAAAAGGCAAGAGGAGCACCGACGAGCCCGGTGGGAGGCGAGGAGGGTCGCCGGCGGCGCGGACACGGCTTCGGCTGGTGGGCGCTCCGCCCCGGAGAAGGGTCGCGTCGGACTATAGATCCAGAGGGGCGGGCAGCGCCCCGAGTCCGCGGGAGCCGCGTCGGCGCGATGCCATCTTCCAGTCCTCGGGAAGGAGGCGCCGGCGCTGAGAGGGAGCGCGTAGGAATCTTCTTTAATTCTTGCTGCTCCTCAGGAACCTGCGCCCCTCGCTCTCGGCCCACGAATACCGGGGGGGAAGCCAAGCTCGGTTCCTGCTCTCCGACGCCGGCTGGACGCTGCCGCCACTTTCCGAGCTGCCGGCTGCGGGGCCGCCGGGACGCGTGTGCGTGTCTTTGTGTGTGCGGGGAGTGCGCGCCCCGACCCGAGGGGCTGGGCGCACCACGGGCTCCGCTCCGGCCGGCTCCCGGCGCCGCCTCGCGTCTCCGAGCAAGCAAAGTCAGCGCCGCCGGCGCGCTGTCAGAGCGATATAAACGTATGGCCCCGCCCCGCACCGCCCAGCCCATTGGCCAGCCTTGCGGAAGCCGCGCGCTGGTTGGCAGATCGCCCTGTCCCTCAGCCGCCTCCATTCTATCGCGGCGAGGCGGGGCGGCCTTCTGACAGGTAAGTCCCCGCCCCCCAGCGCCGAGTCCCGGGAACCTGACTTGGGAGAGCAGAGCGCAGGGCAGGAAAGTACTCTGTGTGTTCTCTGGGCACTAAGTCACCAACAAGGCCTCACCCAGAGCGGCAGAGAATTGTCCTCTGCTCCGTCATCTTGGAGACGCTGCTGGGGAAGACGTTTCGGCAGAGGAGCGACTCGGAGTGGGGCGTAGAAAACGACTAAGAAAGGCAGGGCGACCCCTCTGCAGGCGTTCGGTCGCGCTCCCTTGCTCTCAGCGACGCCCCTTCCCCACATTGGGTCTCTCCATTCTTAACCCACACGCCCCTAACCCCCCGGCGAAAGTTCTGACGTCAGCACCCCACACAAGTTAGAGGCGAGACTTGTAACGTTTGCAATGGCTTTACTCTTCCATTTTCTTGACGATTGTTGTTTTTTGTGTATGGTCATTCTATGTTTAAGACTTTTACACACCCTTCCTCGCCCCTCCCACAGGCAACCACACCCAACAAGTTCCTTGGCTCCCTTTGCTATTTCTCACGATGCCTCTTAATGATGGGTTTCAAAATGTATTTTGTTACAAAACAATCAGCTCGGGGAGCCTACCTAAGTCAATAGGGCCTGGAAATGCAAAGCGACTTCAAAAGGACTAGGCGACGCAATTTGCAGCAGATAATTAGGGGCTCTCAACTTGTGTGTGAATATCGTCACCATCCCCAGTCTGTCAGATTTGGTGCCACTTTCTCCTCTCCACACCTTCCTGGTGGGCGCTGTTTTTCCATCCGTTCCACATTCCACACTTCCCCCCGCCCCGAGAAAACCCCACCGAGCCAGCTCTCACTGCACATGTAGTCTAGGCTTTCTCCAGAATTAGCTTCCGTGGGAAGCTCACGCTTACCTAAAGGTGACCGGGAATTTAGAAAGTGATACATGTGTGATATAGAGGTCGATGCATAGCCTTTATTTCCAGTGCCTAAAAGACACAAGTGAAGAGGAAGCAGGAAATTATTACTTTGATTCTCTGTTCAGCAAACTGTTTGCTTGACGAACCTCAGGGCGTGCTCAAAGCAATGATTTTCCACGGATCCACAGCGCCCACTAGCGACCAATCGTACTTTTCTGCATCCTGGGAGCACAATACCCGGAACGAGGATGGCGCTATCTAATCAAATCTGAAAGTACAAATGGTAATTAATTAAAAATACATATAGCCTAGAGTAGAGAGAACATGGTTGAAATAAGCACAGTGCAACTGTAAAATTCACAGCCTGAAAAAAAGTAAACAGAAGAAAATGTGTTGGTATTCCCTCAACGTGCTTTGTTAAAAATCCAGCCCACGCCAGGATTTGTTTCAAACACAGAAAACCGGACGGGATTCTTACCCATTGTATTTCTTCGTTAGTCAACCAAATTATTGATTAAACTAAATTTAAAAATGTACATATGGCGAAACATCTCGTTAAGATACTTGGCATTTTTCCACTTATTTTCTTTAAAATAATCTTTTAAAACTTTCAGGTTGTGTTTTAAGTATTCGTTTTTGGACACGATGCAGATTTCAAGAGTTTTAAAATATATAAAGACGGGTGTGTTAAATTTGAAAACACTATTTAAGGTATATACTTATATTTTTCCAGATACACCTTTAAGAGAAACTTTTTTTCCATAATCACCAATTTCAAAGCTTTCAATTTGAAGAATGAAAAAAAATTTTAAAGGCTCAGACGATATGCTGCTTAGGCAGTCAGAAAAGACTTCTAAAAAGTCAGAAGGGTGGGAGGTTACTTAAATAGAAAAAAGTAATTTTGAATAAGCTTAAAAAAATATAAGGAATTCATTTGAAATCTAACTTGGTTTAATGATCTTCTGAAAGAACTAAAACTGAGTACCTCAATACAACCACTCTCCCATTTAGCTAATGTATTTTGTGTAACTTGTGACCTTTCAGTTCTCTACATCCTCCTTCAAGCAAAGGAGAGGAAATAAAGGAAATTTGCATTGTCTCAAAATAGCAGTGGCTTCCAAAATGATCTCTCTCTAAATTAGATGTGCTCACATCCAAAGCATTTTACCTTGAGAAAAAAATTGAAGTGTAGATTTGAAAAAGCACTTCCTTTAAAAATGTGTATTTGACCCAGAAGAACCCTAATTTCCTATTGCGTAATTTTAGTGTGTGAGTATGCATGATTACATTCAATAAATAGGGAATGATAGACCAACTAACTATAAGGACTATGTGAGAAGCATTAGCAAGCAACTTAAATTTCCACTGCTGTCTTGGTATTAGTTTGGATAATTAAAAGCATTATTGTACATATATTATGTGTTGTTCCATATATATATTGGCAGTGCAGGCTATTTAAAGCAGATGCTTTGAAGCAGCCCCCAAAGGAAGCAGCAGGCACATCCGTTTAATACTTCCTGAATGTGGACTTTAATGTACAGGTCTAGGAGAAACTTGTGTTTGAAAATCTGTCATTTTACCAGGACCGATTTCAGCCCACTAAAAATGATTTTATTTCAGCAGAAATTTTGTTTACTGTTAAGAACAAATTTCTAAATGTCAAATAAAAAGATTGGGAATTTCAGGTGACATTGATTACAAAAGATATGGTTACAACAATGGGGTAGTAAATATAAAAATTGGGCAATTCCGGTTTAAAAAAATAGGGCAATGAATTTTGTCCAAGGAAATGCACCTAAATTGTTCTACTCCCTTTGGATTCCTAAGCATGTTTTGGTCTTTGGAATTTATAGTTAATCATTTCTTATATACTTCTTGAACATAGAAACATTCTATGTTGGTCTTAAAAATCATGTAAATTGAAAATTACTGAAATTTCATACTGATTGTTGTCAGATACATTTTCTATGTGGCTGTCTCTTCTAGTATTGTGTCCTTCTGCTTTCAGACATTGTAATTGATCTCATGGAAATCACATTTTGCCCAACTTATTCCTGAAGGGAAAACCTTTAGACCAAAAGTAAAATAAAGCCTTTTCTTAAAATCAATTTTGTACACATCCCTTCCCCATTTATCTGCTTTAAAATTCAGAGTATACATCGAAACATCTTCCATTGGAGCCTAATACTTATGATTTTGATAGAAAAGGCTTATTACATCAGGCTTGTGGTCTAAATCTATTTTTCTTGTAACAGAAAAGTTTTATTGACAATTCATTCCTTTCCTTTTGGATAGCATATTTTACACTGGTCATATAAATTTAGCTTAATCTTTCACTTTTTATATTACTGGATGCAAAAGCGGCATAATGGAAAATGCAGGACTAGGTCCCATTGCACATGGCTGAGTCTTATTTGCAAACCAAGTGTTTTGTAGGATCAAATTTGTCATCCCATTTTGTACTATACTGGAGAGGGTGGAGATAAATTACGAGCACATTGTTTAGTTAGGAGCCCTGGTGGCGTACTCAGAGAAGCTGGATTATATGAAGGCTGCGGCATCAGAGCTGGAGGAAGGCTTATTAACAACCCCCGATATGCAGATACATAATTTTGCTTGTTAAAGTGAGGACTTGAAGCACTTGTTGATGAACATTAATGACTGCACCCTTCAGTATGAATTACAACTCAATGAAGTCAAAATCCTCACAACTAGATCAATGGGTAACATAATTGGAGAAAAGACTGAAGTTGTCAAGGATTTGGTTTTGCTTGGATCTGCATTGTTCATGGCGGCAGCAGTTGAGATCAAGATCAGTTGTATGAGGTTTTTAATACTGGAAAGCAAGGGTGTGATTTTTAAGGTCTAAGTTACACCCGACAGAAGCCATGGTATTTTACATCACCTCAAGTGCAAAAGTTGGCTATTGAATAAGGAAGACCAAAGAAAAACAGATGCATTTGAAATGTGCTGGTGAAGAACATTCAAAGTACCATGGGCTGTTAAAAGAACAAAACTATCTTGAAGTACAACCAGAAGGCTCATAAGCAGCAAGGATGGCAAACCTTGTCTCAACCACTGGGGCTTGCTGGCAGGAGAGACCAGTTCCTGGAGGACATCAAATGGAGGGGCGCATACATAATTGAAGTGGATGGTGCTATACCTAGCACTGAGCGTTTCCTGAAAAGGAACCCTGGTGGCATAGTGGATTTTATATTAGCCCAGGTTAAGTGCAAGGTCAACAGTTCAAAACCACAAGCTGCTCCATGGGAGAGGGGAAAATGAAGCCTTCTGGGCCTGCAATTAGTCAGGTTCAGAAACCCACAGGTACACTTTGACCCTTTTGTATAGGATCACTGAGATGCGCTTACTCACAACTAATTGGGTTTTTGAGTTTATTAGTGTGAGTTAACAGATACGCTCCTACCCCCAAGGCCAGCAGTTTGAAATCACTGCGTCCTCAGATTCCTGTGATTGTTTCTTCAGCTACAGGAGCTGTTCTACTGTCACGGACTCAGAACCACGCAACAGCAGTTTGCGCACGCACATTATTTTGATTTTTATCTTATTAATTCTAATACTGTAACCTAACACGACTCTATGGACAGGAGAGAGGAATGAAATCAATAAGAAAAGAAAAACTTAAAGTGCTTGCTCTACATAAATTCTTTTAAGGGACCCCCCCAGATGGTAGCCGAAGGAAGTTAACTATCTCATATTCTGGGCCTATAAAGTCACTTTTTACCCATTTACACCTCCTTTATCAGCCCTTAGAACCAACGGCAATTACCTACACCTTTGTTTCCTTATTTTATCTTTATTATGAAGTGAAAGTCTGGAAATGATTATCACCCAAATTTAAAGAGAACCCATTCTATTCTGCCCAATAAAAACTCAGGTTAAGTGTACCGATTTGGAAAGTATACTCACACTATACACCGAGTGGTTGTGAAACCACTAGGTCAATGGAAGAAGGCATTACATTTTAATTTACTGGATTTATGGTCCACAACAAATATAAGCAGAATCCCAATGTCTTGATCCATACTGGTGGTCTGGTAAAAGCAATCAGCTGTTCAAATGTGACCTCTGGTGAAATGTTGAGATCCGATGTGTAAGTAGGCAGGGTGTGACTGAATTTGGTGCAGAGCAGGAAAGCAAGCAAGCACTCCGATTACTTTGTAAATAAAGTAACGGGCCGGGGTCAAGCTAATTCACACACAATCTCCCATTGACATTGCGTCCTGCTGGCGACCGTCAATTCGCTGGTGTTCTCAGGAAATGCACTCGATTCACCTTTCCAACAAATGACAAGCTTACCACAGAACGACAGTTGTCGTTTTAACAAAAAGCGACCTTTATGGTTTGGGCTTCAGCACCAATTCTGGATGAAAGCCCTTTAACTGCTTACTGGAACCGTTAGGGTGGCACAAATGGTTAAGCACTGGAATTCACCCAAGATGTCTCAGGTGGCCTGCAAAAATATGACCCCTGAAAACTCGATGGAGGTCAACTCTGAAATACATGTGGTCGCCCCAAGTTGGAGCAGACTGTGCCAACTGGTTTGGTTTCCCTTTCTGTACCACAAAGATATCACGTCTTGAGAATTTTTCGTGATCAGTAAAAGCACAAACAGGCAAGTGGTGTAAAGATAACTACTGAAACTAAGAAGCTCTAGTTAATAGCTTCTGAGAATGTTACGTGACCAACCGAATCTTTAATAGTGAGGCATCAGAAATTATAGGCAGTCCATTTAGTCAGAATTATATGCTTATGACTTTAGAATTCTATTTGCCACAGGAATTTCTAAAAAAGGTGGCAATATAAAAAAAGCTATAGACATAGAGGGCTTCATTTTTAACATCTTCATGAAATTAAGTAATAAATCTCACACTTTCTCAATAGTAGCAAGCATTAACGAGTCCTCACACCAAGCTAATTTAAAGTTTGGTTTATACAATTGATAATCCTGCAAACTCTACAATATAAATGGCAATGACTACATATTTTAAATACTGTAATAAAAATAAACAGTCAGAATTCTATAATGCATTTAAGAATCTAAAAAAAACCAAATTATGACTAAGGGCATATTTAATAAATTATGGAACAGTTGAACTGCTAAGTAAATTGATATAATTTAAACTTTTATAATATGTACACAAAGGCAGTGGAAACAAATGGAACAAATTACTACTACATTGTTGCAGCACAGAAAAGACCAGGTGTATATATTTCATTAACAATTACATCCTCTTTTCTGTAACCTAGCAGAGATTAGTAAATGGTTAGCAAGCACAGGAACAATTTCAGTATCTGATGAGAATCTTCAACATCAAGGAGTACCACAATATGTCACTCCGTAGGAAAAAAGAATTTTTTTTAAGTAAAAGGCACACACAAACTGATTTCCAATATTTTTAAAGTCCAAGACACTTTTTTAGATACAATGTTTAGAAAATACGTTTAGCAACACAATATTAAAATAAACATTTCCTAAAACATGAAAATAGAACTTAACAATGGGTCAGTACTAAAAAGTTACATAAAAAAACTACGAATAGAGCTAACATATTTAGATATTAAAAACCTAGAAACAACCTATATATATTTTAAGAAATTATGAATGTTTTAAGGATACCATGTTTACTAAAAGTCAGTCTCACTATAGTTCATGCTTATTTAAAGTTCTATCTTTAAAGATACTTGACTGTTTTTTATTCCTTACCACATGAAGACTCAGAGCTCAGAACTAAAGCAATAGCATTCTTCTTAGCATGCATCCACAAAAAAATCTACCAATTGTCATCTTAGTAACTTGTTTGCAATTTTAAAGACTGATCACCCAAACGTTCTCAAAAATATTGGGTAACTTTTTCTCTACTTTTGAAGACACGTTGATACATCTCAAGTAGTACTTTCATATCCACATCCTTTTCTCAAATAAATGTTTTAATACCAGCATTTTTAGATACATAAAAGGGATAAATTAAGCGGATTCTAGCAGCGTACAAATGGAAGAAAAATCCACCCATAAAACACCACATGCAAAAAAAAAACTCCCTTGTAAAAATTTTAAACAATTCTGTCCCCAAAATGAACTTGCAAGTACCCTAAACTGATGATTTGACTATTCTCAGCCTTTTGAAGAGTTCGAGGTTTATTCCCCCCTTATGGCTCAGTTTGAAAATAAGCTAAGATCCACATAATTTTAGAGGCATTTTCCCAGTCTTTATTAAACATAATTGAAGGTAATAATTCTTACATCCTAAAACTGAGGCACAGGTTTGAGAATTTAAATGTTTTGTTTTGTTTTGTTTCCTGGGTGCTCTTAGTCTATTTTGAAGGTAATACTGATGTCTTATTTACTCTATCATCATAAAGTCAGTATTTGTAAAAATAGTCATTAAATTTTAAACCACAATTATAGTCAATGTACATATAAACCCTATGTTAAAAGTATAACCGAGAAGAGGAATTATAGCATACTTCTAGGATTTTTAAATTGTTAATCATCAAAATATAAACCACCCTCTAAATCTTCACAGAACTTAAAAAAAATTGCTTAAAACATATGAATTTAAGACTTTACTTTATTCAGCAAAATCATTTATTTACACAATGGGGAATGCTGGTTTGATTTTGTAAAGGAAATAAAAACAAATCGAACAGAGACAATACTGAACTGCATATATATTCTGTGTTGGAGTTAACCACTTGTTTCCTTACCTGTATCAGGAACATCAAGAGCAACAGTATCATAAGGACACTGGTTTAACAATATACTACACAGGTCCAGTAGTACCCTGGGGATTTTCTATCACAATTACCAACTTTTCCTTTTTTAAAAAAAATAAATATTAAAAAAAAAAAAAGTCAGCAAAACCAGCATACGGTGTAATAAACAGAGTATAACTCTGAAGTCAGTGAGTCAGGAAACCTTATCAGACCATCCAGTTCATATAAAGTGATGTTCTTCAGACCACTAATATAGGACTCTAAAGTGTGAAAATATATCACTTTTTAGAAGACAATGATCTGATAAGGATTTGACTTAATGAAAGTTAAAAGGAATAAAAGGAATTGCAGAGCATAGCCCCTATTAGAACAAGCTAAATTTTCATAGTTTCCAAATTAAAATAACAAAAAAAAGAAAAGGAAAAAAAAACACTTCAACATGAAGCTACCATACAAAGTTTTTCTGGTTGTTTTTTTTGGGGGGGTGGGGGTGGGTGTAAAAAGTTCAGAGTTTGCAACTTAATCCTGGGTTTTCAATGAGAAGGACAGTTTTGGCCTGGACTTCCCCTTGCCCAGGATAATTTTTTGTTCTTCCTTTTGTTGACGTTGTCGCTCTTGTTCTAGTTTCATCCTTTCCTCATGAATCTTTCTTTGTTCTTCAACAATTCTCAACTGTTCTTCAGCCTAAAAGATAAAAGTAAAAATTAGGACTTTCTATGAGTTCCATGTTTTAGACTAGCAATATTTTGGAAATCAGGTAGCAATTTATTATAATCAAAATGTGAACATACAATATAGCATGTTTCTTTAAATTTCCCCAAGGTTAAAAAATAAATAGAAGAAAAACAACAACGATTTGAGGGAATTAGACCAGAAGCATTTATTTTCAGAGTTCCTACACATTTCCTGCATTGGGGTTTTCAAGAAAAATGAATGAAAGCATTTATACATTTGAAAACCAGAAAATCTAAAAATTTATCTTTTTAATCAGTATAACTTGGTTCAATTATTTTTATCTAGTACCTTGAGTATGATCAAGAGAACACACTGTCAATCATAAGCCTAAGTCTGGATTTACTGAGTGTAAGTCTAGCAACGTTACAAAGAGCTGAAATACACTGTTCAGGCCAATATGTGGATTCAAAAGCCCATGGAAAAGTCCATTATCTTCTAATGCCCCTTTCCAAGAACTTCTGAAGCCTCCTTGCATAAACAAGAACCACTCTTTCCCAATGCAGAAAAAAAGTAGGAAGCATTTTTGGCTTGCTATTTCAAATGACCACCAATATCATCAACTTTTCCAGTATCTTCCACGATTTCAACCTCAAGCAACCAACCAACTTCCTCCATATATTCACCACAGGTACACCCCAGAATAGTCAGACCGTTCTTAGGAGCTAATCCCTTATCAAATCTGTCTTCCTCTTATAATCTTCCAAAGATCATGCCCATATTCTCAAGTTGGCAATGGGTGGAAATGAGTTTAGCTGTCATACTAGAAAGTAGAGGACTACTATCACTCCCCCCAACCAGCCCAGGGAGGGCAGTGTCCTTCTCTTTACACAGGGTTGCCTAGGTGGGTCCTTGATGGAGACTAGGGTTGCATGTCAAAAGCCATGCCCTGACTACTTTAAGCTGTTCTGTTTAGCCTAAAACTTGTGCCTCCAAATCATGGTCCTAGTTCCCTTTTCTGTAATCCTGCTGCAATTATGATGTATTCGATCTGCTACCTATCAAGCTTCTGTGATAGGTTCTTTTGTCCTCCCATGTCTTATTTAAGTCATTGATTCTCTGTAAACCCTTGGATGCCTTTGTTACCTCTTGCTAACAGTTCCCCTCATCTGGAGGATCTATCTTTATACTGTTTAAATCTCAATAAGTGTTTTCCTTATATTAATGATATTTGGGGTTTCTTTTATACTCCCAAACAATTCTAAAACATCATTGAGGGGAGGGGGTAGATTAAAAGAACAGGTAAAAGGGCAAATCCATTATCAGTGGGTCAGAGAAAATTAAGATCAGAATTAAAAGTAGTGGGAATTTGAAGGACTGAGGTAAAAAAAGGGAAAGTCAGATTTGGACATTTTAGCTCTATATATTCCTGGTAGCACAGTGGCTTAAAACACTAAACTATCAACCAAGTTTAAAGTGTGAAGCCCAAAGCTGCTCCAAATTAGAAAGATGCAGTCGGCTTCCTTACAGACAGTATGATGTTCAGTATTCATACTTCCAATCTATTGGCCTTTTTCGTTTTGCCCTTAAAGCTAAACAAATTACAAAAGCATGCTCCCCCCCCCCCCAAATTCCCTCACCTTTGAATTGATTCCAAACTTCTACCAAACCTTTTAGAACCAAGTGTGACTACTCCACAGGGTTTTACAAAGTTGTCTTTAATGAAGCCGACTATCCCCTATCTCCTGCCTACCTTCCCTACCCATAACCACTGAGTAGATTCCCAACTCAGGGACCCTGCACAGGGTTTCCAGGACTAAATCTTTACAGGAGCAGGACAGCTCTCTTCTTTCTCCCAAGAACCAGTTAGTGATACTGCCAACCTTGCAGTTATCAAAACTAACATCTAGCCCAGTTTCACGGGGGCTCCTTTCTACCTGCCACCTACCTTCTATAGCTTAACTTTGCTGCCACATACCTCTCCTCTCTCACCTTTCCAAACCGTTTCCAAGTTTTAAAAATTCTTCCTCATGTATCTAGTTTCTTTTCCATTTCTACTGCCACCATACATACCAGTTCAAAGCCATACAACTCTGGCAGGCCTGAAACCATTTCCTATTTAGTCTTTTTTTCCCTTTAGCCTATCCTATAAAACGCTGCTAAACTAATCCTTTCTATACAATGCTCTCTCCTGATGTCAACATATCCAAAAGTTTTTCACTTTCAAAATGCACAGCTAAATGTCATAATTTAGGGTGCTACTGATAACATTCTACAATCTGGTGCTAGTTTTGTTACTACTAGTCTCTTAAAATTATAGTCTTCGTTCCTTTGTTCATAGCATTCTTTCCACCTACTGCTACTATATACAAAAATCCACTGTAACTCATCTTAAGACACGGCTAACTACAACAGAAAAGATTGTTTTCTTCTAATCATCTTTAATTGATGTCAGAGACTTTAACTCACTGCTATCAAATCGATTCTGAGTCATAGTGACCCTATAAGACAAAATATAATTGCTCCTGTGGTTCCCAACGCTGTAAATCTTTACAAGAGTAGAAAACCTCATGGAAACACTAACCTTGCAGTTGGCAGCTCAACACGTAATCTACTACATGCCACTAGAACTCCTTAGTATTCAACAACTTTAGTCTTAAAAAATAATCACACGCTTGGGAGGTAAAAGCTTAGTATGAACAACCAAAGCCAAGACATAACAATGACTTAACATGTGCTTGGTCTGGAATCATTTGATGGGAAGCTGTTAGCAATGTAAACAACCAAGTCACATTTCTAAGTCACAGTCGAACATTGGGGAGCAATGTGGAAGACCTATTATAAAATAGAACCTTATAACTTTAGTCCTTAAAATAAACCTAATAAAAATTACAGAGATACCATTTTTCCTGACTAGCTTGAGAGGAAAGATACACTCTTATATATTGCTAGTTGGATGGCAAATTAGTAAAATTCTTCTAAATTATATTTCAGCACTATTTATTGCACAGGTTTTACAAAAATAAGACTGGGGTGGGGGTGGGGTGGAGATCCCTACCAATATCAGATAGTTGTTTTTTTTAAATTAGGACTATCTACAAAAGAGAATACTACCTAGCAAGGAAAATTATAACCAACCAAAAAGGCAAAAGCAATCAAGAACTCTGTAGATACGGAAATGGAATCTCCAAGTTATTCTGCTAAACAAAAGCATAGTGTTCTGTATAATAGCATCATGCCTACTATTCTGTATAAACAAAGTTAAGGATAGATACTATCTATGCCTGTCCAAATATATATGTATTTAAAAACTGAGAAAAACAAACAAAAGAGCTTAACTTAATATATTTTAAAATAGAGGTTAAAACTGGGAAAATAAAGGTTGCTGCTTTTATTTTAAAAACACACCACACACACACACACAACAGTCCCATATCAAAGAATAAAACCAACATTTTTAAGGTTAAAAATCAAATTTTCACTAGACAAAAGAAAAAATTTTCTTTAAAAGTATCCCAAGAAACCTGAGGTGGTCACTTCCCTTTACCTCTTCCTTCCATCCTTGTAAATCAAATCCAGAAAGGATATTTTAGAAACGCCACCAGGGTTAAAGGTATTGTTATGAGGTTTCATGTTTATAGAAAAACAAAAGAAGCTAGACTTGGCATTGAGGCTTAGAGGAAAGGGAAGGTGGGGGTGGGGGGTGAGTATGAAAAAGAGAGAGGCTGCTCCAGGAAAAAAAAACCCCTAAAATACACAGGAAAAGAAATATCTCCTTTAGTATCAAGCTTAAATTTAAAACTCACTTAATGACAAACTTCACCCCCTTTTGCTAAATCCTTAATTAGTAGAAAAGAGATGTGAGCCCAAAGCAATATTTAGTGCTCATTACTGCTTATACATAGGGCACCAAAAAGCTTGGAAAAACTGAAAATAATATTTTCCCATGGGTTGTTGGAAAACCCTAATATATTTTAAGTCTTTAACTGTTTGTATCAAAGTCAAAGACAGTCTTAAAACACAAAGCTGGTTAAAGTTTATCACATCTAGCATGACTTACAAAAGGAGGACTGCCCATCCTTAAGACACACTTCCATCACAGATAGGAAACACCAATTTTTGCTGGACTGAAATTGTCTTTCGATGGGGTAAACAAATCAAGTTTAATTTTCATCTAAGTCTATAATTATTGTGGAAATACGTGTTCATTTGTGAAGTGAAGCTGTAATTTTTCTGAGACTTAATGCACAATAGCGTTGAACATAGTGCTTCCTGCACAGTGCCTACTATGCGTATTAAATAAAGAGCTGATTTACAAAAATGAATGAAGCAAATGAAAATACAGCCTTTAAACACTTGCACTATTTCATTATAGCTTTAAATCATGTGTAAACATTCTTTAATTAAATCTTGGGAAAACATCAACAACAGAAATCAATCTTTACTTGCTAGGTATTTTTCTACACCTTCGCCTCCTTTTGAAGACCTGCTGCTTCCTTTAAAATCCACTTATTGAGTAGATTACAACTCAGAGCAACCCTATATAAGGTTTTCCAAGACCACACATCTTTAAAGGAATAGATCATTTTTTCTTGTGGAGTGGCTGGTAAGTCTGAACCACCCACTTTACAGTTAGTCCAATGTTTAAGCCACAAAACTATCAGACCCTTTCGCTGGTAACAATACTGAAACCTACTAATCTCTTCCATTTGGAATGCATGTAAATTTTACAAAACCACACAGTGATAGGTGTATCTGTCATTAGGAATGGTTATAAAAATGACAGGAATGAGGGGAAAAAAGAAAGAAACTACACAACTACCTAAAAGAAGAAATTTCTGTAATTTTAAGCTTGTAAGACACATACTAACTTTTGTAATTTTAGTTCCTTGGCTCATCTTAGCAACTCAAATAATGATTTTCTACTTTTGATAAACAATTAATAAAAAATATTTAAAAAAAAAAGATAAAAAAAGACCCAAAACAGAAAACAACAAAAAAAAAATTAAAAG